TTTTTTGGTCCAGTCATGGGGCCTGAACTCGGGGCCTGGGCGCTGTCCCTCAGCTCTTCAGCTCAAGGCTAGCGCTCTACCACTTGAGCCACAGTGCCACTATCCAGCTGCAATTCTATTTACCCTCTCTCCTAGGGTCCGTGGAACTCAAATATCCAAGGCTTAGCATTTGGGGCCAGTGAGTTCTTCATCCTAATTATTCTTGGTTCTCCAAGGCAGGAACCCTGAGGTCACACGGTGGACTTTTCCTTCCCATTCTTCCTATGCCACATCTTTGTAATTGTGACATTTGACCTGTGACATCATCCATGTCCAAGTTCTTGCCCAAGTGTCTCAGCATCTCATCACCACCAGCGCCTCTGCTTCCTTGCTCCATTTCCTGTGCATGCTCTGCCTGCCTTCCTACTGTCTAATGACAGAAGGCAAAATACTGCTTTACCTTCCAAAGTCTTCTTAACTATTCTAATACTAAGTGACTGTCAGCACCCACTGAGAAAACAAGTAGTCAACCAATAGTCTACTTCTAGTTTTCCCCTTCATCCTTTGTGTACGTATGCGTGTATGTGTACATGTGAGTACGCACACATGTGCACATGTGCTGGTCCTGGGTCTTGAACTCAGGGTCTGGGCACTGTCCCTGAGCTTTTTTTGCCTAAGGCTAGTGCTTTACCACTTGATCCACAGCTCCACTTTTGGCTTCTTGCTAGCTAATTAGAGATAAGGGGTCTCATGGACTATTCCTGCCCAGGCTGGCTTCAAACCATGATCCTCAGCTCTTGATCTCCTGAGTAGATACAATTATAGGTGTGAGCCATCGGCACCTGGCTGCTGCTGCTGCTGCTGCTGCTTCCTCCTCCTCCTCCTCCTCCTCCTCTCTTCTTTTTAAGGCTATTCATCTAACACAATACTGTACAGATGCCAGAGATCTAAGGATGACTAAAGCCACCAGGCACCCCTGGCTCATGCCTGTCATGCTAGCTAGTCAGGAGGCTGAGATCTGAGGAGCGCAGTTCAAAGTCAGCCCAGGAAGGAAATTCTGAGACTCTTATCTCCAATAAACCACCAGAAAACCGGAAGTGTTCATGTAGAGCGCTAGCCTTGAGCTGAAGAGCTGAGGGACAGCGCCCAGGAAGCCCCACAACCAACACCAACACCAAAAAAGATGACTAAAACATTTCTAATTCACCACAGAGGAATTGGAGGTGTGGCTCAAGTGGTAGAGCACAGCTTCAAGTGAGACAGACAAGTGAGAGCTCGAGGCCCTGAGTTCAAGCCCCAGACCTGAAACAATAAACGAAAAAAAAACTTCACAACCTAACCAAGAGATACCTACTGGTATGCCTACGCCTATTTAAAAATATAGTAAGAGTATGAATACACTTCAATGGAAAGCCAAAGACAGGTGGAACTAATTTTTCCTAGTTGATGAGAAAAACCTTCATAGAAAAGACAAAATTGTATCCAGCTGTTTGTGGACAAATAGATGCCATGCGGGGGATTATGGAGAACATTCCAGGAGAAAGCTGCTATGAAAGGGCAGGAGTTATTTGGGGACTTTGGGTCCTAAGTGGCTAATATGTCAGGTGTGTATGGAAAGAAAGGGGTTTTGTTTGACAGTACTGAGGTTTGAACTCGGGGCCTCATGTAATGAAAGAGTTTTACCTTATTTTTAGGCTTGTAAGCAAAGGAAATGGCAGTTGGAGTGAGGAATCCAGGTGTCCTGTTCAGATTGTGCATATGTGTGTGTGTGTGAGAGAGAGAGAGAGAGACAGAGAGAGAGAGACAGAGAGAGAGAGAGAGAGAGAGAGAGAGAGAGAGAGAGAGACTAAGACAGACAGAGACAGAGAGACAGAAAGAGTAACTCACATCCTTTCCTGCCCAGGTTGACTTTTCACGGTGATCTTCAGCTCTCAGTTTCCTGAGTGGCTAGGATTACAGGCATGAGCCACCAGAGCCCAGCATTGTCATGAATTAGGAAACATCCTAATGAATCATGTGAACACTGGAGTCAGCAGAGACCTAGGCAATAGGACAAAACTGAACCATGGTGGCAGTGAGGCCAATAGGAATACCTGGATCTCAAAGATAATTCACTCCAAATTAACGGGGCTTGGTGATTAGTTAAATTCAGAGACTGTGGGAGAAAGCCAACCGAGAAGGGTTTTTTTTTTGTTGTTGTTGTTGTTGTTTTGTTTTTGTTAGTTGTGGACCCTGAACTCTGAGCCTGGGCACTGTCCCTCAGCTCTTCAGCTCAAGGCTAGCGCTCTACCACTTGAGCCACAGCGCCACTACCAGCTTTTTTCTTTTTGCTTATGTGGTGCTGAGGAATCAAACCCAGGGCCTCATGTATGCAAGGCAAGCACTCTACCACTGAGCCACCGGTCCCAGCCCTCAAGAAGTTTTTAATTTATGCTAATAAACAGCTCATGATGTCCTTGACCACAAAGGTCATTACAAAGGAGAAACAAGTATGGACAAAGTAATCATTTTGGCCTATGGCTTGCTGAAATGAGGGTGGCCATCGGATAAAGCAGTTGAGAGCCCAGAAATCTTTCGTTTGATGGAGCTTGGACAGCCAGAGCACTGAAAAAGGTAGTGTTTCCAGCTGAGTAAGGTTCCCTCCTTCAGAGACTGCTGGAGAGGTCAGGCTGTCTCTGTTCTTGTCACTCCATGTTAGACAGAGCACAAGCTTCCAGGCTGTCTTGCCCTGAGTGACTCCTTTTCATCAAACAGCAGTCTGCAAACGCTGAGGCAGAATGATTCTCCATCTTCCTAGCATAACATGTGACAGAGATGGATGAGTAACCCACGGAGACAAATAAAATACCACCACCAAGGAACATATAAACTTAAGTTGCAACAGGGGAGTGGCTCAAGTGATAGAGAACCAGCATTAAGGAAAAAAAAAAAAGCCAAGCCAGAGTGTGAGACTCTTGAGTTCAAGTCCCAGTACCAGCACAAAATAATAAAACTAATAAAATATTTGCCAAATTAAATCGGGAACATATGGGCCTACCAAAACCATGTCAGAAAAGCCAGCTCCTGAAATGATCAACACAGCAGATCAACACATAATGCAAGCCATCACCTCAGCTATAAAGAGCGACACTTGACCCCGGGGGTCCACGGCACCCACTGACCCATCAACCACCATCCAGTGTCTATGTCACAGGGTGGACAAGAAACATCCCAACTTGATGAGATCACTTGAACTGCCTTGGTTCTCTGAATCCACTAAGCTTTGGACTGGCTCCTGGGCAATGAAACAGCTGTGTCTGGACCAACACTGTGCCTTGAGCCCGAGCTCAAGCCAGAGCTGAGTTTTGGAAACTCAGTACCACAGCTCTGTGACTGTGTTGTTACATTCACTCTAGGTTGATACTCTAACACTTGAGCCATGCCTTCGCTTCTAACCTTTTGCTGGTTTTTTGGAGTAAGTCTCTCAGGTTTATCTGCCTGGACTGGCTTTAAATCCTGATTCTCAGATCTTACCTCCTTGTGTAGCTAGAATTATAGGCATAAACCACTGGTGCTCAGGAAAAAAATGTTTTACATTTTTAGAATTTATTAAATGGGACTTTAGAAATAAAATCTTCTAGTGATGATAATCTAGTAATATATTCCCTCAATGGCTCACAATGTCAATCTTGATGCTGCAAAATTTTCTTTTTTTGTGCCAGCCCTGGGGCTTGATCTCAGGACCAGGGCACTCTTCCTGAGTTTTTTTTTTTTAGCTCAAGGCTGGCACTCTACTACTCGAGCCACAGCTCTACATCCAGCTATTTTGATAGTTAATTGGAAATGAGAGTCTCCCATGCTTTCCTGTCTGGGCTGGCTTGGAACTACGAGGCTCAGATCTCAGCCTCCTGGGTATCTAGGATTACAGGCGTGAGCCACTGGTGCCCAACTTAAACTTTTAGTGTTTTAATATTAAATAAGACTTAAGAAAGAAAGAAAGAAAGAAAGAAAGAAAGAAAGAAAGAAAGAAAGAAAGAATGTGGCTTAGTGGTAGAGTGCTTGCCTAACATGCATGAAGCTCTGGGTTCAATTCTTCAGTACTACATAAACAGAAAAAGCTGGAAGTGGTGCTGTGGCTCAAGTGGTAGATTGAGCAAAAATTGCTCAGGTAGGCCCTGAGTTCAAGCCCCAGGACTGGCAAAAAAAAAAAAATAGAAGAAAAAAGCAAGTAAGCAAGTGAGCGAGCGAGCAAGCAAGCAAGGGAGCGAGCAAGCGAGTCTTCTAGTGATAATATTACTATATTACACCTCAATGGCACCAAAATGTCAATTTTTATCCCACAAAACTTTTTCTAAAGAGAAGTCAAAAGACAAATGGACATCATTTTGCTTGTCAGTTTTAATTTTCAATGAAGCAATGGTCTCTAGAAATTAACTTGCAGTTCTTCATAGCAGTTGGACAGAATATGGGAAACACCTATTCACACAAGCAGGGAATGCTTATGAATTAGAAGTACAAGTAAGTCCTTGTCCTTGAATCCCATATCCTGGAGGAGGGATATCTGCACAAATGCTGAGTCTAGGTTTCATCCACAGCTCGAGTGAGGTTGACCTTGACCCCGTGGGTGGTTTTGCTTTTCCCTCCGCGAAGACCCGCTATGTAAATCTGGGGCCTGGGCACGCCAGTGCTGTTCTCCCTCAAGGTCTGTGTACTTGCCTCCTTGGAAGGGTACACCTGTGAGCAATTGTCTCTTCTCATGTGACTAAGATTAGTTTGTACCGAGTGAGTCATTTTCTGACGCAAATTAGCCTAAGTGGAAAGAAAACAGAAGCAATGTTTCTCTAAAGAACAAATCATATAAAATATTATTAAGGGGGAGAAAGGGGATGGGGGGAAGATAGGAGGTGAGGGATGATAAGGGGAAACAAAGGAGGAGGCAACAATGCTTGATAAGAAATGTACTCATTACCTTGCTCATGTAATTGTAACCCCTCTGTATGGTATTTTCACAATAAAAACTTATTTATAATAATAAA